TTGTAGTAGCAGTAACATGGTATTCAAAGATGTCTAGGGTATATAGCGAAACTTAAGACATGGTTGATGTGGGTTGTATAGACATGAGTGGGTATGCGAGTGTGTGGTTTAAAACTTGCTGGTGTGACTTGCGCGTTTACAATAAACAATTAATAAACAAGTAGGTTGTTCGGCTGGCTGGTATGTCGTTATGAGATTAGTGAGTAACAAGCTATCTGAGCTGCGGCTTATTAGATGCTGTACATGCTAGTTATCAAGATACAAGGAAGAATAACAAAATTAAACACATTTGAGATGGGGACAAGCTGATAAAGGAGTTAAGTGTGAGCGGGGTAGTACACTGGAGTGTCGAATTAGTAATAACAATAAAGTACTTTCCCCTCTCTAAGAAACTGGCAATGCATGTATGAGACTGCCGAAATGGGACAGCGGTTAGTCAAAACAGAGCTCCGTGGAACAACAAAGCAGGGCATGCAAAACATATGTATTAATTAGGAACCGTGCTCAGCTGCGGTGAAGAGAGTCCTTATAGCTGCAGTCCCAGGATCTACTAATAATCGCACTTTGACATAGACTGTGTGAGGGAATCTTGCAGTGTCTCTACATTTGGGCCTGCAGGGACACAGTCTATCTCTGGGTAGATCCATCTCAGTCAGCCGATGCCGGCTCGGAGAATTTGGCATGTGGGTTGGGGACGGTGGTAGGGTGGGTGGTTTGATGGGGTTCCGTCTCCCAGGGAGGCTCTCCATACGGTTCTGTCCCCTGTACGCACCCGCCCTGAATGCCGTTTGTCCTCGCTGCTTTCATCGGAAGTCTGTAGAAGCGGGGATGTACTCCGTTGGTTGAGGGCTTTGGGTGTCGCTGAGCGGTGAGTGGGTCGGGCATACTTTAGAGTCCCGTGTTGGCTTGCACGAGGGCTAGTGTTGGCGTCCGACAGGTATGTCTTCGTTTCCTGCCGCCCTGATCTTACACCTCGTCTCCGTCTGAGGGCCTCTCTGGGGGCTCGGGGTGGGTCTCTGCTCATTTGGCGCCGAGTGGCAGGGCGAATCCACGCAGCCACTTCTTTTGTCGCCTGCTTGTAGAGCCATCCCCTGGTGCAGAACTTGGTCCATAGACCGGTGCAGAGCCGGTCATAGAATTCCAGCGTGCAGTCAGGTGGTTTAACAGGGAGGCTTTTAGTCACGGGTTGTGCTTGTGGCGCCATCTTGCTTGGGCCTCGACAGCCTCGTTTTCCTGTTAGTGTTGTCACTTGGTCCTGTCTTGCTTTGGGGGTATTCTTCCCCCACGAGGACCGGGATATCCCCTGCCGGTCCACAGGAGGTATAGCAGGGCTTCTTTAATTTCTCGCGTGTAAGCAGTTCCTGTGCCGGGCGATCAACCACCTCCCCCAGGCTGCAGGTTCCACTTCAGTTTAGCCCGCGTGGCCGGATCATGTGCTCGTGTCGGTATGTGTTTGGTACCGTTTTGGTCCTGGTGTGATCCAGTATCTTTCTGTGGGCACCATGGGCTATTGGCATGGGTAATTTCTGCAGGGTTCTCGTTTTTGTGCCCACTGGTGCACGAGCTCTTAGGAAGTACGTCCGGCCATCTTGGCTGTCAGGCCCCGCCCCCCGCTTCGATGCATTTCTGTGAAGAGATGCTGACTGGCGAAGCATGGCTTTTTGCCACGCATGTGCTAAAGCTTCCCAATGTTTCTTATTGGAAAGCATTGAATTGGCCTAGATCATCAAGACTGATCATTTCAGTCATGGAGGCGGGGGCCAGCCATAGCAAAATAAGTGCAGTGAGAAAAAAAAAAAAAAAATCTGAGGGGAGTCAGACACCTAAACAGCCACTCCAGCACTATAGTATTAAGAATACATGCTTGTATTCCTAACACTATATTGTTCATTTAAACAGGAAAATGCAATGCAATACATGCAAAGCAAAAAGTTAATAAGCTTGTTTTATTTAAAATATATATATACACATAATCCCCTACATACTTGTTAACCCTTAAATAGTGAAAACACATGCGGTGGGCAGCAGCACTGAAACATGTTTGTTTGTTTTTGTTTTTTTAAATTCTGTAGCATAGTGCTACATTGTCGCACACACAAAAAAATCTTAAGCAAGTACTAACCCACCATGTTTGTTTGTACTGCAGACAGTTCAACATTTAATAAAGCAAAAATGCAAGCAGACTCATACAGAATAAGAAAATTATTACTATTTTAATACACAGCATTGGTTAGGATTTTCAATGAAATACAAAATACTGGACACGTCATTCTCTGGCTTTAAAAAGAATGTATTGTTTATTCTCCAGCAATCCAAGATATTGACTAGGATATGACTGAATAAATAAACCGTCCTACGTAATAACTACAGATTACACTCATCGTCATTAAAAGGGACATGCATCACTTGAAAAAAAAAAAAAAAAAAAAAAAAAAAAATTAAACCAGGAAGCACTTTTAAAGGGCCACTCCAGTCATTTTTTTCCCCATAAAATGCTAGAAAAATTACATAAAATTAAAAATATAAATAAAACACTGTTTAGTAGATATACCCCCAATGAATACATGTATGCTTTTTTATGCATATATTCATTGGGTGTATATCTCAAAATACCTTGCAAAAAGTATAGTTCTTATGAACTGCTGCCACTCCCCCGTTTCCCTAAAAGAGACTAACAGGCTCTTCACAGGGAATAAACATATCATAGGCTTCCCAATGACAAGACTCCGAATCTGTGCAAGCAGACAAGCACGTGATCTGAGGTCTGTAGAGGCACTAACAGAAAGATGAAGCAAACCTTCCTGGCTGTCCGATTGACAGTCAGGGAGTGTGCCATAATTTAATTATGGAAGTGCCGATTTCTCATAGAAGTCGGCACTATTACAAACAGGGGTTTAAATTAGGATACTTCAAAGCAAGCTGAAGTGCCCCTTTAAACAAATATACAAAATAAAGCAAGACAAACTTTGAAAAGTACGTAATAAATATTTACAATCTCACTACAAACTTGGTCAGATTGTTGGGCACACTTCTCAGTTAGGGGGGGGTTTCTAAAGCCACCCGCCTCCCTTTTGACCACCCATTTTTGTTTCAGACCAGTCCAATAGTGAAAGAAACAAAGCATAATCGAGCAGCAACAGGAGAGAGAAATCAGACACTAGAGCCTGCTCTGCATGATTTACACTGATCAGACTCCCTCTCTTCACATGTGTAAATCTGTCAGGCATGCCCAATGCAATTTTCCAGCATTTCTAGGGATAGGACACTAATGGGTTAGAACTGGGGAGGGGAAGTATTTGTATTCCAAGGACAAGTGTTTACACCAGGACATTTTAAGCTTGCCACTGTGGAATGGAACACTGGATTTCCAGTAAGGAGTCTTCCATAAAAACGTCACTAGATAAAATGTGAATGGATGATAAAGTGACAAACCTATACAGACTGTAAAATAGTCTCAAAACACAAGTGCTATCAATTGATAAATTGTATAGAAATTCTTGATTTTGTGCAAACTAGATAAAAGAAAATATAGTGATGGGCTTTTTGTAGGAAAATAAAATATCAAAAGGCAACACTAGGGTAACATATGAAATGGTTTATAAAAATTTCTTACCATTATTTTCTTCACCACCAACAGGCATGTTAAGTGTGTCTTTGGTATATGTGGATTCTAGTTGAATGTTAGAAATTGGAGGCACTGGGTCTATATGAGAGGCCAGTGGAGGGTCCATGGCTTTGACTCCTTTGTGATTGCACAGTATTATTACGGTTTTGCTTGCGTTTATTCTACAATTTTCTTCTCCTCTCTGCTTGAGAATGTGCTCATATTAGATTTACTGAGGGGATAACTTCCATAAGCTGATTCACAGATCATAATACAATTTCTGAAGACAGTCTTGAATAAACCAGCAAGGACTCTGCTTTAAATGAAACAAAAGGAATACACACAAACACATCAGCAACTGAATATCCAAGGCAACATTCAGTACACAGGATATAATTTCAGGGTAAGCGCAAGCCTATTTTCACTTACATACAGATAAGGTCCTGACACATTATATAGTCATAGAATAATGTATGCAGAATGATTTGTGCTGATACTAAACTAAATGAACAACAGAGCCTGTTTTGGATAGCCTGTGAGAATTTCAGCACGGCCAATTGATTAATGAAGGGTAAACGATTAAGTTTGGTAGCGTAACATATAGACCCCATGACATACTTGGAAACTAGCAAGAACTACTTTGCCATTGCCTGATTAAAATACTTTATTCTTGTTATTATGGAATAATACACACAACTATAGAGCTCAAAAAGAATTATCACATAAAAATAGTTATACATAGAATTTCTATGCAGTGGCAGTCTTTATGGTCATGTATTCCCCAGGCTATAAAATGGACTGACATTGCATTGGCTTAGTCAAAGTCACACACACACAAAAAAAAAAACAACAAAACAAAAAAAAAACGTATAGGAACAGAAAAAAAGAATTTAGCTAATAAAATACACCCTTTCCCCCTGGCTGGTATGAAGAAAATAAAACCAACACGAGTCCAAGTTGCCCTGCTACATATATGTATCTGCCTGTATGCCACTGGCTATGTAAATAACACACAGCTGGTTGGGTGCAACTAGCAGGACACCCAGGAAGGACTTGCAGGGGGTCTGTGTGTATTGATATAGGATGTCAGGCAGTGGGAGGAGGGTGACAGTGCAGTATAGGGAGCCACGCTGGCAATAAATGGTGACAATGTGATCCTCTCACCGGGGGGCAGTGCTGCTCCTCTCCCTCTGTCTGTCTGGCCCCACTCTTCCTCCCCCAGGACACACACTCCAGCCGCTCTCCCCTGCGGCCTCTCCCACAAGACGTGGCTCTTGGCGGCCGGTCTGGGGTCTCTAAATTTTTCTTCCCCGAGCAAACAAACGCTCTCCGGAACCAAATGATCGGGATTGTTGTTGACCGGCGGCGCACGGCTTACTTTCCGGCGCACATCAGTAGGTTTCCTGTGTCCACTTACCGCCTGCCGACCCCACACTGCCAGCCCGGTCCGAGCAATGTAGTCCTATCTCGGGATGCGTGTTTATGATGGCATTGTTTCCCACCGGAAGACAGAGCGTGATGCACAATATACTTCCTGTAACACCTGGAGCAGTGGGCGGGGCCAGCAGGTTAACCCGTTGTTTGATTGACATCTGCTGAGAGGCACTCAGTGATTGGCATTCTTAGCTCTGTATTGCCAGGGCTGTTACCTAATTAGTGTATAAGGGCATCCATGATTAGGGCACCAATGCCAGGTCTATAGTAATACCTTAGGACAGGTGTTCCAAAAAAAAAAAAAAAAGTTAATCTACATGTGTTTTGATGCTTAATCATTTATTGTTTTGTTTTTTTCAGTAAACTTGTGATTTTGTTAAATGAAATCCTAATTGCAAAATAAAATTTCAAAAAGTTTGCCAATCTTGACAATAAGATTTAGCCTGTAACACATATGGCATAGATAGATTCAGAAGCAGCTGAGAATTTTGTGGTCCTGTTTTTGTCACGCCTTTTACCGTTCCCCAAGGGGAAAAAGAGACACCCTTTTCGGTAGAGGTTATATATAATTAAATCCACACGACACATCTCCTTTATGGTTTACAACTGTTATTTTGCATAAGGAGGAAACCAAATTGCAGGTGACTTGTCCTGTTGCGTTTGATTGCCATGGCAATCCTTATATTAATGGTCAATAAGGACAACAAAGTCAAGGGCTCCTGTGTTTCCTAAATAAGGCACATTTCCTATTATACCTTTATATACTATAAACCACGGGTCCTCAAACTCCAGCCCCCCAGATGTTGCTGAACTACAACTCCCATGATTCTTTGAATTACATAGATAGCCAGAGAATCATGGGAGTTGTAGTTCAGCAACATCTGGGGGGGCCGGAGTTTGAGGACCCATGCTATAAACACTTCCCTAGCCTCACCTTTATACACTGAGATTAATTTGCTAAATGCTGTTCTGAACGGGGACTGTGATAAGTGAGGAGATGCCTACTTACTTCCACACATGTCTACTATTGAGTTGCAGTTTGACACTTTGCACCTAAAGAAAAAGTTTTCACTTTAAGGTAATGAGACGAATAAAGAATATGTTTGAGAAAAGTTTTATTCTGCTCCTCTCTCTCGCCTGCAGGAGACATTTCTTTCTTTCAGAAATGAAGTGTGCTTTCTCGTACTGCTAGTCATCGAGCTTTTTAGTCACATTAAACGGTCTAGGATTTTTACAAAGCTTGATTTAAGAGGTGCTTAAAATTTGGTAGGCTTTAAAAGGGCCACTATTCAACAATTTGTGGAATATGGTGTTTTACAAAGTCTTGTCAGGGAAAGACAGAAAAATGCCATCATCACACCAAACCCAAATGTGGTGACATTTTACCACTTACCAAACGTTGACAAATTTATTAGCGAAATATCCTAGGCTAGATTCAATGGGTGAGGGGCGGGCCTCTCTAAATGAGTCAGTAGCCTTTCACAGGCTGTTATCTACTTAACGCCGTATCCAGTCAAAAATATATTAAACAGGTCTTATTCCAAATGTTAATGTTAAAATGGAAAGACAATTTTACTTGGAGTTCACTGAATCTTTCATCCCTTTATTCATCCAGTCTCAAATCTTACCACAGTAGTCTAGCTTTCCTGAGCCATTTTGTGGTCAGTTGTATTGAACTGATGTTTTATCACAACATATTTTTTATTTTATTTTTTTATTTTTTTTTAATGGGTCCACTTTTAGAGGCATGGGGTTACTCTGGGAGGCAAACTGTGTGTACTCATCAGCCAACTTCTATAGGGTGGTGGGAGAGGTGCAACATCTTTGATGCTGGAAACACATTTTGAAATTTTATTTACTAGGACATAGTGTGCTGGCAACAGATTACCAGTGGCAGTATGCCCCCCTACTCCCGGTGCCGCCAAATACTTCTCTCAACCTGTCCCCTGCAATGAAGGTGATTGATGTAATCTTAGGAGGATCAGGCTACAGGGAGTTCTTGGCCAGACATGGGATCTAAGGTATAGTTAGTTTTATATATTTATTTTTTGTTTTGGTCAGAGGGGGAGACCATGCCAGCAAGGGTTACTCTAACCAAAGACGGTGTTTTATTAAAAAAACATGTTTTGGTTAGAGTGATTATTTTAAAACTCTTCATTTATAATATACCAAAGTCATAGAAATTCAGATATTTATTCAAATTAAAAAAGCAACAACACAATACTGCACAATACTGCAAACCAGTATTGGTAAAACAGTAGAAGTACACCGATACAGCACAACTCTTTTCAACTCTATGTCTTCCTCAGGTGTTCTAAATTATCACTGGCCTTTTCATGGCATTAGGCACACTTTTCGGGTCAGGCAGATGCCTAGCGTCACTTCCTACGCGTCTGGCATCTCCATCTTGTATGTCTCCACAATCGGCTCACTTTTCGTTATGTTTATTCCAAAATGTCACTTCCGGTGCAAGATCATGCTGGAAGTCCTGAACCATCCATAGTAGTAGTCTTTTTCGTATGCAAGATTAAAGGAACACCGTTACTCAAGTTCATTCTCCATCTCTACCTTTTCTCTCTTGATCACTATGATCAACCTTTCAGCATAAAAAAGCAAGTGTAATAAACATGGGAAGTGAGAATAACAATGTTGACAAACTGGTCCTAGGATTAGCTTATGTGGGCCGCAATTGCTGACCACTAGATCTTCCTATCCACTTTCAAAATTGTTTGTTTCATTGTTTTACATATTATCTTCTTTTAAAAAAAAAATATATATATATCCAGACGGGCTACTTCTCACCGTACAACTACAAATTTACTTTACAAACATCAGTCATGATCGTTAACAATAGGAGCCATGTTTTAAAAATATCTACAGCTTCGCTTCTACTGGCCTTATACTGATAAACATGGCCACTGTGCATATACAACTGACTGACTGTATGCATTATTGTCTTGAAACCTATGTGATGTATATAAAAACCTGTCTTGAACTAAATAAAGAATTTATTTAAAATAAAAAAGATTAAAGGAACACTATACTGTCAGCAATACAAACCTGTATTCCTGACACTATAATGTTAATCTAACTACTTAGGTTACCGTCCCTCCTTGCTACAAGGCAAGAAGTAAAAAAAAATATTGCAAAGTATATCTGTAAAAGTCAATGTAAACTTATATAAAAAATGTGTGTACACTCAAATTTTCTTGAGACCAAATATAATGGCTCAAGTTATTACAGTATGGGTTTAAGGATGCCCAACAGTTTACAACCATGGTTTCACAGGTTCTCCAAAAAGAGTGAAAATATACCAAAGTCATAAATGGATTCAGATATTTATTCAAATAAAAAAATCAAACAGCTCTTCTCCAATCAGCATGGGTAAAACAGTAGAAATACACTGAAGCGCACAATGTATATTGACTCTATATCTTGCACAGAAATTCTCACAGTTTTTTACTACATATATATAGCCAGATCAATTCATCCGATTTTTGCACTTTCTCCGCCCATGAGACCTCGCAAGCCCATCAGATCATCTCCACCTAACACCCTGCGAACTGGGAAAAACTCCCGGAAAAGACCAGGCTCCAGGTGGCAATCCTCCCCCCATGTGTTGGTTATATGATCAAGGGGCTCGGAATAGGACAGAGGCGGACAGCTCTAAGGTGAATCCCCAACTATCTGTTCCAATACCTCTGATCTTCCCAGCTGCATCACTGAAAGCAAAAAGCAAAGACAAATCTACACTTCCCCTATCCTGTAATACTCATTTGCTTGTTGGGTGGGTCATTGTGCCTGTCATGCGATATCACTTCCGGGTTCGGCACTCCGCTGTACGGAGCTGGACCCCGCCCCCCTCTGACAGTATTTAGGGAGACCGCGCCAGAGAGAGGGGGCTTGGTGATTGTGCGAGCTACTTCCGCGATGCCGCGGGCTCCACAGGTTTGGAAATGCTGGGAGCTACTTCGGCCAGACTTACCTCTGCACAGTCTCTGGCGATGTGGTTCCAACTTTGGAGAATACACGCCGGCTCCTGTGACACGCCGGCTCTTCAAGCTCTGAAGGCATACCAGCCGTCCGGCTAGGGAAGTATAGCATGTCATAGAGGATTACAAGAGAACGGAAACGTATGTCTAATTGAAGTGGATATCTCTATATTATTGGAGGACTACTAACCTTAAGTATATCTTTCATCTACTAATCTACACTCTCATTTAATAATGAATTTATGTTACAATCTCATTTAATAATGAACTTATTCTTGCTTACTCAAATCTTCACTGCTTCAAGCTACTAATTATCTGGAGGACAACTCCCATCATGCTTAGTAACTATGAACTGTTCTTGCTTTGCAACTATTCTCAGCTACTTGCTTAACCCCTTCCCGACCGAGGACGGTTCAGGACCGTCATCGGCATTTTTGCGTTGCCGACCGATGACGGTCCTGAACCGTCCTAACGGTCAGAGGTACTTACCTGATCGCCGTCGTTCCCCCGGCGGCGATCAGCGTTGCTCCGGTTGTGGGGAGACTGCCTGCAGCCCAGACAGTCTCCCCACACTGAATTAGGACCCCTGTGGCCATGTGATCGCTTAACACAGCGATCACATGGTCACAATAGGTTTCCATGTGTCTGCCTGCAGGGGGACTGTCTGTGCTGACAGGCAGTCTCCCTGCTAGTGTAAAATCAGAAAAAAAAAATAAAGTTAGTGTTAATTAAAAAAAATAAAATAATTATATATGTGTATATATGATATATAGACATATATTATATCTATATAATATATGTCTATATATCATATATATATAATGTCATACTAAGTGTATTTTTATATTAATATGTACTTATATTAATATAAAAATACACTTATAATTAAATTACACACGTATATATATAATATATATAATAACTATATATATTGTATATATATATTATTATAAAATATAAATAATAAGTAATTTAAATTAAATAATTTTTTTAACTAATAATAAAAATTTAAAAAAAAATTATATATCTATATGAAATTTTATTCTAACTGTATTTTAAAATTAATATATATATATTTATATCAAAATACACTTAGAATTAATTTGCATATATAGCTATGTATATATAAATAAATAAAAATAATACGAAATATACATATGTCCATATACAAAATTACATAAATAAATATATACATATACACGTAGACTTAAACTATATAAATATGTATATATATTTAAATTCTACGTGCGTATTTATGTAATATTTTTACATAATTCAGTAATTTTATTGATTGCAATTTGAGGGACCTGCCTGCCAACCCAGGCCGAAATTCCAGAGAATTTAATTTGCTAGCATTGTATTTTACCCTGTAACGTTCTACGACACCCTAAAACCTGTACATGGGGGGTACTGTTTTACTCGGGAGACTTCGCTGAACACAAATATTAGTGATTCAAAACAGTAAAACATATCACAGCGATGATATTGTCAGTGAAAGTAACTTTTTTTGCATTTTTCACACACAAACAGCACTTTTACTGATGATATAATTGTTGTGATACGTTTTCCAGTTTTTAAACACTAATATTTGTGTTCAGCGATGTCTCCCGAGTAAAACAGTACCCCCCATGTACAGGTTTTATAGCATTTTTGAAAGTTACAAGGTCAAATATATGGGTCAAATATTTTTACATTGAAAATGGCCAGGTTGGTTACGTTGCCTTTGAGAGCGTATGGTAGCCCAGGAATGAGAATTACCCCCATGATGGCATACCATTTGCAAAAGAAGACAACCCAAGGTATTGCAAATGGGGTATGTCCAGTCTTTTTTAGTAACCACTTGGTCACAAACACTGGCCAAAATTAGCGTTCAATTTAGTTTTTTTACTTTTTTCACACACAAACAAATATGAATGCTTACTTTGGCCAGTGTTTTCGACTAAGTGGCTACTAAAAAAGACTGGACATACCCCATATTGAATACCCTGGGTTGTCTACTTTAAAAAAAATATGTACATGTGGGGTGTTATTCCGAGATTTATGACAGATAATAGTGTTACAATGTCACTATTGATAAATTTTAAAAATGTATGTTTTGAAACCGCAATATCCTACTTGTACCTATAGCCCTATAACATGCAAAAAAAAAGCACGTAAACACTGGGTATTTTTAAACTCAGGACAAAATTTTTAATCTATTTAGCAGTTTTTTTCATTCGCTTTTGTAGATGAGTAAAAGATTTTTCAAGTAAAAGTCAAAAACATGTATTTTTTTTCAATTTTTCATCATATTTTTTTATTTTTTTTAAATTAAAATACATGAGATTATATAAATAATGGTATGTAAAGAAAGCCCCTTTTGTCCTGAAAAAAACAATATATAATTTGTATGGGAACAGTAAATGAGAAAGCGGAAATTACAGACAAACACAAACACCACAAAAGTGTAAAAATATGCCTGGTCGCAAATGTACAACATCGCAAAAACAGTCCAGTCCTTAAGGGGTTAACATTACTATTGAAGATTATTCTCATTAACCAAAGAATGTTACTTAATGTTTCTCTGAAGAAATACTTATTAATGAACTTTGTGTTGTTGATTACATGCACTTCTTCTTATTGGATTATTGCCTAAATGCAATTCATTTAACACTTATTAAAACTTTGTTTGAATCAAGTTACCAGCGATTCCCTCTTTTCTTAAAGCTACTGTATTGATACTTCAAAGTTTCTCCGTATCTTCACTAATGTAATTAGGGAGGTTTACAAGCTGCAGTTGAGTTCCAATCCAATTCACCCAAGTAGCGTAACAGAATCACCAAGCCACAAAATGGAACCAGCAGATGTGAATTCCCAAATTACCTCATTAACCCACAGGATTGAAATGCTCACTCAAGGCATGCAGGAATTGCAAATTGCTAATGAAATACTTCTTTCTTATATTAGAGAAATGCAAAGTAAAGTTGCTCATTCTTCAAGTGAACCTGCTGTCTGCAATCCTGAAAATTTTTTGGGAGATCGCTCTAAATATAGAGAATTTTTGAATTCATGCAAATTATTGTTTACTCTCAAACCCAGGGCTTATCCCACAGACTGTCAAGGTTATAGTCCCCAACACGCAAACCAGAGAACAATAAAGGCGAACACAGATAGACGTATTACCGGACCTTAAAGTGGCCGGACTTAATGTAGGAATGAGAGACGAATAGTCAAACACGCCAAGGTCAGGAATACAGAGATACGGGAAAACTAAATAGACAGAGCCAAAGTCAGGGAGCCAGAAATAAGAATAACCAATAAACAAGCCGAAGTCAGGAACCAGAAAAAAGACAACTACTCAGAACGCACTCTCGGGCTAGAATAAACCACGACAGGGCAAGGAAGTGATATCAGAAGGAGGTTAATATAGGGCAAGGTGAATGTTGATAGGCAGGGACAGAATTGAAGGAGGTATAAATAGATAGTGGCAATAGGCCACTATCTCTTTAAATTTGGAGTTCATGACATCCCTGCCGGCTACCTTGTGCGCGCGCACCTCCCCGGACGCTCTCCCAAATGCGAGCGTGCCCCCGAAGGCGCACACGTGCGACGCCCGCCAGCGATCCACACCGCCCGAGACCAGAGGACGGACGGCGGGACCGGGACGGCGCGGGACACCAGGTATGACACAGACAGGATTAAGGTCTGTTCAATGATTTCCTATTTAAGGGGTGAACCCATGTCCTGGCACTTTCATTTTTGGAAAATGAAGATCCTATTTTGGATTCTTTAGATAAGTTTATTGAAGCAATGTCACTACTTTATGAGGACCCTAATAAACAAGCTACTGCTGATCTTGCTATTAGATTATTACAACAAAGAAATCGTCCTGTGGAAGATTATATAGCTGAATTTAAAAGATGGGCTTCTGAAACCCAATGGAATGATATAGCTCTACGTAATCAGTTCCGTTTAGGATTGTCTGAAACTGTTAAAGATGAATTATCTAGAACCACTCTTCCTTCAACGCTTGATACCTTAATTCAACTCTCTATCAGTATAGATAGTTGAATCAGAGAACGTAAGGTTGAAAAAACTCTCTCTAATTCACATTGGAAAAAACCCAGTCCACCTTTGCGCATGCCTAATAAACCCTTGCAACCTAGTGAACCTATGGAAGTTGGGTTTATTAGGGGTCCTTTGTCTATGGAAGAAAAAACAAGAAGGAGAAATGTAAACCTTTGTATATATTGTGCTTCTAAGGAACATCTTTTACAAGAATGTCATCTACTAAAACGCGCTAAGGGAAGAAAGCCTAAAATTAATACCTCAATTCTGAAAACTCTTCCCTCTTCCGGCTCTCATCAGTTCGCTGTACCTTTAATTTTACAGTGGGACAAAGAAAGAATCAAGACTTAAGCTATTATTGATTCTGGAGCTACAGGGATATTTATAGATTCTTCATTTGTTGAAACCAATAAAATTCCTTATATGAAAAAAGCATCTTTTATCTCCATCAGAGTTCTTGATGGATCTCTAATCCCCTCTGGTCCTATAAAAAATGAAACTATTCCTATCAGGACAATTGTCAATAATAACCATTCAGAATTTCTTGTTTATGATATAATAAAATCGCCTCTTTTTCCAATCATCTTGGGTATCAATTGGTTACAAACCCATAATCCTTGCATTCATTGGACTCCTTTTTTCTCTCACCTTTGACTCAGAATATTGTAAGGATAATTGCCTCCCACAGATACCTATACTTCAATTAAGTTATAAAAAATTGAGACCTGAGATTTACAGCTTCTGGCTTGAATACAATGTGGTTCAAAAATCAGGCACGGGGGGGGCGTGGTTCTGGCTCTTACCAAGATGGCCGCCTAAAAGGAGAGCTCCGCTCCACCGACCCCGATAAAGCGCTTATACCACGTCCAATTAAGCTTGATGGGGCGCACCAAACGCCCGAAGCAACCCCAGACCCCGAGGAACCCCCAGCAGGGCCCGCTGGACGGGTTCTTACAGCCCCAACCTGGAGCGAGCGGGGACCCGACCGACCCTAAGATGGTGCTGACACCCACGCCGGGGTCTGAGACAACGGCCCTGGACAGAATCGAGCGCAAACTCCGGGACCTGACTGCCACTATGGTCACAAGGACCGACCTCCAGACCCTCACAGCCACCATCCAGGACACGCTGCGGTCGGAGGTGGCGGGACATATCACTGCGGCGGAAGAGGCGGCTGCGGCCCTCACTACCCGCATGGCATCCACCGATACTGCTGTGGCACGCCAGGGGGACATGCTGCTCTCCATACGCCGTCACCTGGAAGATGTGGATAACAGAGGCAGGAGATGCAACATCCGCGTACGCTGAGTGCCAGAAGCAGAGGGGACGGAAAATGCGGAAGAGGTACTCAAGGAGCTTTTCCAATCCCTCTTACAGTCACCTCAGCCACGCCAGATAGAGCTTGAGAGGGCGCACAGGGCTCTTCGACCCCGAGCTGTAGAAGATGGGCCGCGGGACCTCGTATGCTGCCTGCACTCTTTCCCAGTGAAGAACGCTATAATGACCAAAGCACGAGAACAACCGACTTGGCCCTTCAGAGGGGCCCAGGTCTCACTGTACAATGACCTGTCCCCCATTACATTAGAGGCCCGACGTGCACTTCGCCCTGTGACGGCGTTGCTGAGGGAACACCACATAACCTATAAATGGGGATTCCCTTTTGCCTTGGTGGCCAGGCATCACAACAACTGGTTCACCTTGAGATGGCCGGAAGAAGTACCACGATTTATGGGGCACCTGGGACTTGCCTCACCGACGGTTACCAACTGGATCCTGGGACCTCTGGGTCAGCCGCCAAGACCGCAGAGGGGACCTAGACGACAGCACGCGAGATCACCACCGGCACGACACTCTGGGCGACGTGGTGACCCAGCATCCCCAGAGGAATAGTAGCAAAGGATCGCCTGCAGTGCTGACCACCACTCTGAGCTCCTCCACAGCCCAGCCACCCTGTCTCCATGTGGAGCCACTGTCGGTCCCGGACAACCTGACCCACGTGACTGGACACTTGTGTTCTCCGCCTGTCCCTGACGCCTAAGATGGACAAGCCGGCCGACCTGCACATCATCAGGTACTCTGGGGTAGTATATGAGGGCTTTGGGAGGTAGGAACACAGGTTCCATAGTCACCCGAGGGGGGTTCGCATTCCAGTGGAACTGGATTATCATCTATTCTCCTCTACCTGTGTCCCAGGCTCTGCCTACCACGGGGGGCTGGCAACCATCCATTTGGGGGGGGGGGCAACAAGGGAACAACACGGGAAAGGTTTACCGGCACCTTCAAACCCCGAAGATCTACCCAGAGGCACTGGACTTAACTCCCGCAACCTGGACACTCACTCTCTGTTGCGGATGTGAACTTAAAGCTGTATGGGACTAGTATGCTGGGACTCTTCGGCACTACACCGCATAGGGAGGGGAGAGATGGAAGGGGGGGGGAATGAGGTGGTAGTCATGTTTGTTACTGTTGGACGTTAATCCCCTGCCATTGCATGTCCCCCTCCTGCCTTCATGCCATGACCCACAGCCCACTGTCGACCCGAGTCCCATGTTTTATTACCTTGCACACCTATATGCCCCGGTTCCTGTGCCATGCCGTGGGACGGAGAAACATGATAATAGAGTCTGTATTGTATTATGCTGTATTATCCTATTGACTTGCTAACCCAGACCCGTTGACTTAGGGCGCTAACCTGACACACCACACGGATCTGGTTCCACCGACAATCATCACCCACACACGTTCACATGGTCACGCAACTGGGCATGCACAAGATTATTAATCTCCTGGACACCTTGACAGCTGGGGGTGGCCCTATACATTGGCACCGGGACTGCAGAATAAGGGATTAGACCACCATTAAGTGTAGGGGGGGGGAGGGAAATTACACTAATCAACGTAACCCCGGGGCTGGTGGGTACAGACTGGAGCTTACTGATGCTGGGTGGGTGATCACCAACTGGGGGGACTTTTGGGGGTCAAGGGGCACTCTGGAATGTTAAGGTCTCTGAGATTGTTTTTTTTTTTTTTCCCGTTTTGTATTATGTTAATCTTTTTATTTACTTATTTTATCTTTGATGTATAGTTGTTACTGCAACCTAAACCTTAAAGTGTGCGTGCCCTATATCTATAAGCTGCTCTAGACGATTTTGTTATAGTGCTGCGGGGTGGGACGGAGCGGCTGGTTCCACATCTGACCTTGATCCTTTACTTGGGCGGAGCTCGAGCCGCGCTACCCACTTACTAACACTCGTGCTGAGAGTTGGGTGACCAGGCCGTGGGTACCCTCGACTTCTGAGCCGGTATTGGACCGAGCCCCTACTGGCACTGGTCACTGCACGAGACCACTCCTCCCTGTCTTGGGGGGTTTGGAACCGGGAAGCTCCCGGAAACTGTGTAGACACTCACATATAGGACACACACCTCCTTCTCACTCACAACTTCACCCAGTTAAGCACTCTCTCTGGGACCCCGGGCCTCGGTTCTCTGTCTCGGGTTCCCAGCTACAAACCACCTCTCCTTCCCCGCTCTCTCTACTTATATCCACACTTCTTCCCTCCCCACCCCCCTCCCTTTTTTTTTTCCTTTCTCCTTTCTCTCCCTCCTTGTCCCCCTCTCACCGCCCTGAGCGGACTGGTGACGTGGACGCGTGGCCCCCCTTAAACTCACCAGAACACAGAAGACGCTCCAGATTTCACGCCCACTCAGAACCTCGTCCTATACACGTGACCAGCATGGCATACAGGAGCACGCCCCTGAAGGTCATCACACAAAACTGCAGAGGTCTTAACATCCCTGAACGCAGGACTCACTTGCTACGGGAATTGGCGGCTGACCTGGATTCAGGGAATTGGACAGACTGCAGGACTCACAAGGAAGATACCTATTCCTCAAGGGCATCATAGCGGATAGATTATATACACTTGCGTCTATTTACGTGCCTAACCGTCGGCAAGCCCCCTTCCTCCGAAATACCCTGCATCAACTGGAAGACTTCACGGACGGAGTACTGCTAGTAGGTGGTGACTTTAACACCCCACTCGATCCGACACTAGATTCATCTACGGGTCATAGCTGCCTTCCACAGCATAACATCAGATCCATACGGCTGTTGCTCGAGTCTTTGAGACTGGTGGACTGCTGGAGAACACTTCACCCCACGGTAAGGGACTTCACTTATTACTCTGCTCTCCATGACCGCTACTCTCGCATTGATTACCTCTTCATAACGCAGGAAGGTCTCTCCCACCTGCTTAAAGCCGGGATCACACCAGCTATGTGGTCGGACCATGGCTCAGTCGAAATGGAGCTGAAATCACCTCTGTTCAGACCTACAACCTGGACCTGGAGACTTAATGAGGCATTGTTACTAGATCCGGACACCAAGGAACAAGTCAACCAGGCACTAGAGCATTACTTTAGTGACAACGATTCTCCGGAGACCTCCCCGATTTCCATCTGGGAAGCTCACAAGAGTGTTATCCGAGGCACACTTATACGCATTGCCTCACAGAAACGGAAGACACTCATGCGTGAGATGGCTGACCTGTATCACTCAATCTCGACCCTTGAGCAGCAACATAAACGTTCCCAGCTAAATGAAGTCTATGGGGAACTAATATAACAAAGAAGACGACTCAGAGACCTCATTACGAGACGACATCTCCGAACCCTGCAACGCACGAAAGGCTTTTATTATATACACGCTAACAAGGGAGGTAAATACCTAGCGAGATTGCTGAAAGGCCCAGCACCCCGCACCCTGCAAACAAATACGTAAAATACGTCTGGCTTCGGGGGAGGTGACCCCCTTTTCGCAGAAGATCGCGGAGCAGTTTAGGTCTTTCTACGAGAATCTCTACAATCTCCACACACAAGTCGGGAATGCTGAGACCACAAACGTCCATGCTAGGATACAGAACTACCTGTCCGACACAGTCACACGCAAAAATCGACCTAGACTCCGCCTCAAACCTGGACACACCCATCAGTACAGACGAGCTAGCAGCGGCCCTTAAAGCAGCGAAAACTGGCAAGGCGCCCGGCCCAGATGGCTTTTCCGCTGGATACTATAAAAACTTCTCAGGAACCTTGCTGCCGTGGCTGACCAAGGCCCTCAACGCCGTGGGGGAGGATGGAACCCTGGGACCAGAATCACTAGCAGCTACCATTACGGTCCTACTTAAGCCGGGGAAAGATCCGTTGCAGTGCGGGAGCTACAGGCCGATCTCGCTGCTGAACGTTGATGCTAAATTATTTACGAAAGTCCTAGCAACCAGACTTAATCACCTTCTCCCCGACTTGATCCACGTGGACCAGACGGGATTCATCCCAGGTCGAGAGGCCAGGGACAGCACCCTACGGCTCTTCCCGCGGATTCTGTATCTCATGCAGACCATACCACTCGCTATACCAGCGACCTTCTTTTCCGCCCTGAAAACGGCAGTAACTAGATTTGTGTGGTGTGGGGAACGAGCAAGGATCCGACATGACATACTGTGCCGTCCCAAAAATTACGGAGGGCTGGCGCTGCCGGACTTTCAGAAATATCACCAAGCCACGGTCATGCAACGTATACTAGACTGGCACCTGGAACCAACGGCCAAACAATGGGTGAAACTCGACAGGGACCTCATCGGACCAACACTAGAGGCACAGGTCTGGGGCAAACCATAGCGACGATGAGGGGTTGGTCCTACAGACCCTACACAGTTGGAAGGTACTCAGGCTGCAGACACATATATCACCCACGCCCAGCCCGATGATGCCGATCACGCATAACGAGGCCATAGGGGGTGGACTCCCCTCAGGTGCGTGGCCCATCCAGAGTACCGGAACATATATTCCCATACATAAAGCCCTGGCGGATGGGAGACTGCGAGATTTAACCTCATTACTGGGAGAGGGACCACGAACTCCTCTCTCACTGCTCAGATACCTGCAACTGAAACATTTCTATGACACCCTGTTACACAAAGATCTCTTACATAGAGACCTCACATGGTTTGAAACCCTCTGCGAGCAAGGCACGCCAATTGAACACGCTATTTCAGCTCTCTATCAACATCTGATGATCGGCGGCATACCTACAGCCGCCACATTCAAACGTCAATGGGAGGACCAACTTGGAAGACAACTTACAACTCAACAATGGGACAAAGCGATGAAATGGCACCATAAGAGCTCCATGTGCTCCTCTTATCAGGAAATGAATTACAAATTGCTCTCCCTATGGTACAGGACACCATCCCTTTTGCACCGTATCTTCCCATCAATCTCCCCAGTATGTTGGAGGTGCCAGGCAGAAC